ATTTTTTTTAGCTATTTAATTAATACTACTTGGTTTATAATAAACCCTATTTCTAATTAAATATAGTTAAATAGTATTAGATTAAATATTTACTATTTATTATTAAACTATTTTATATATAGACTATAAATCTCTTGAAGATTAAAGATATTATAATCTACTTAGTCTTTAAGATTTATAATATATTATTTCACTATTTCAAGAAGTTATAGTCTCTATTTACTTAGAAAAAAATCTCTTAAAAGAAAATAATATTTACTATTTTAAAAATAGATAAACATAAATTTAGACTCTATTATTATAATATTAAATCTACTATTAGTAATAAGAAATCTTAATAATTAATTCTAATAATTGAAATATAATTAAAATATAAGAAAATTATAATATTAAATATAGTTACTCAGCAGTTTTATACAGCTAAAATAGGAAATTACAAGATAAAATATATACAAAACGATATCAACAGGAATACCGTAAATACCACATAACCTTATAATACCAAGACCGAATCCGATACTAGAAATTAGAAAAGTCATACGGTACTTACGGTACTAAGTAACGGTACCAAAATTTCCCAGATACCACATGACTTGTCCAGGCCTAATTATTAAGATTTTTATTAGATTTTTACTAGATTATTAAGGTTTTTACTAGATTTTTAAGATTTTTATTAGATTTTTATTAGAGTCTTTAAATCAGATCTATATATTATAAACTTATTAAACTAATAAAAAATAATATTAGATCTAGTCTATTTGACTACTTATATTCCTAAAATCAACTCTAGATTTTTAATAAATATGATTCTTCTTTTTATATTACTAAATCTAAATACTATTATATTACTATATTATAAAATCAATTTTCAGATTTTCTATTTTTATTCTATAGAGAGAATAATAACTTCTAAACTCTAGATTCTTCTATTAACTAGCTTATTCAAGATCTATAAAAACCTAATTTCTTTTAATTAAATATATCTTTTCTACTATTACTATTCTTAACTTATATTAGCCTTGACTATTAGAAATTATTTATTCTTTATAATAATATAATATATTTAAAATAGATTAATTAATAATTAGAAATAAAGTATAATATAAAGAATAAGATTAATTAAGATTTAATATATTATATAATAATCTAAAATAACTACTATTAAGTTATATATATTATTAATAAAATATTAAAGATTATATATAAATGTTATAATAAGATCTTAAAGTATCCCTATATCCCTAGTATTAATAAATAGAAAACCTATTATCAAGATATATTAATAATATAAAAATATCTTAAAATAATAAGATATTTATAGTTAGACAATAAAAACTTTAAAATTATAAATTTTCTATAATCTAAGATCTATTTAAATATCTATTTATTATTATACTTTATATTTCTTTTTTTTTTTATACTCTAGTTATTAAACTTATTAAATATATCTTTTTTATCTAAAAAATAAAAGAAGAATATCTTATAGTTTCTTATTTTAAATTAACTTTCTTTTAATCTTATTAAATATATCTTATTTAAATATCTATTTTATAAAGCTCACTCTATTCTAGCTATTCTATTATTTCTATCTACTAATATAATATATTGCTATCTTAGTATTATTATTAAAGACTAATATTAATATATTTTCTATATACTCTCTAATAATATAAAAATTTCTATTATACTTGATTATTAAATATCTCTATTTTCATAAGTTTTTATAATAATTATTAGTTATTTTATTAACTCTAACTAGATATATCGAGAAATATTTCTTAGATTTAAACTAATATCTAGTTTATATACTAGTTTAAATCTAAATAATACTTTACTTAAAACTCTTTTAGAATATAATATTACTAATTAAATATTTAAATTAATTATAGACAATATATTAAACAATAAGATCTTAGCAACTTCACTTTAATAAATATTATCTAAAGACACTATCATTATCTAAATCCTATATCTTACTTATATTATTTAATTTAATCTAAATTAACTCTTTTTTTAATTTAAAATAAATCTAAAAAATAATTTAACTAAAAGAAAATAGACTAAAAACAAATTAAAATTTGCTTATTAAAATATAAAATAATAATTATATTAAATTTTCTTTATTTTAAATAAAATTTGCTATCTTACTATCTATATTAATAAAAGTCCTTAATAATAAGAAATATTTTATAACCTTTAAATAATAAAGGTTAAAATTATTTTACTCTAAGATATAAAAACTTAATAAAATTTAATATATCTAATATTTTATAAGATAAAATAACTATATTCTATCTTTACTTTATTTTATATAGAGTATAAGATTAAAAAGATACTTCTTAGTAATCAAGAATAATATTAAATTAACTATCTTCTTTATATTACTAAATCTTTTTTTAATTATATAATTTAATTATTAAAGATTTAAAATATTACTATTTATTTTATATTCAAGATTTATAACAAACTATTTATTTATTTTAAAAAATTAATAAGATAGCTTTAAAAAAAACGAGTTATTTAAAAGAAGTAGATATTTAATATATTTAAAACTAGATAGATTAAACTTCATAAATATTACTTCTAAACTAATAATATCTAAAAGTATATATATACTATTAATACTATATTTATATCTATAAATAAGTTTAAATTCTTTTATACTAATAACTAAGATAATTATTAGCAAGATATTTATTAATTATCTTTTTATAAAACTCTTATTCTATACTAAGCTTAATTTAAGGATCTATCTTAAATTAAAACTCCTAGAGCTCTTATTAAACCACTATTAATATTTAAATCTATATTTAATAAATTTAATCTAAATAAAGATATCTTAACTATATTAACTAATAATAAGATAAGTTAATATTTAGATAGTAATATATAATAAACTCTATATTTCTTTTTATATTTACTAATAATATAAATACTATTTTAATAAATCTATTTACTTTTTAAAAAGAATATTAATCTTATTTTCTAACTATCACTACTTTTATATATAATATACTCTTATTTCTAGTAACTAGTATAAGAGTTAAACAATTATTTAATATAACTCAAGATATCTACTATTATTATTATAAAAAACTAAAATTAAAAACAATAGAAGATTTAATAATATTTCTTTATATATCTAGATTTAATATAAAAAAGTAGAAAGCTAAGATTTTAAAAGAATTCTTTTCTTAAAGTAAGATAAAGATTATTAAAAAAGAAAAAAATAGAAAACTTGATTTAATTAAGATTCTTTTAATTAGTAATATAGAGAAAAATGATTATAAAGTTAACTATAAAGATTTAATTAAATTAATTCTAGATACTAATAAACAAGATAGAAAGCCTAAACTAAGTCTTCTACAAATTATAATACAGATCAAGATATCAAGACAAAAGCGGAAAAATAAGAAGAATAATCTATTTAAATATTATTAGTAATATTAATATAAATAAAACTTGATAAAAGTAATATATTATTCCTACCCATTAAATTATCTCTGGATTTACGAAAATAAGAGTAATCCAAATACCTAAACTTACAGCTAAAATATATATAAATTATACATCTGAGGATTTTAGTCTGTTTATCTTGTTTGTAACCCCATTTAGGGCCCCAAAACCCATTGGGGTTGGACCCAATAACCCCAAACCCAACATGGGGTCAGATCTTTAGACCTAAAACCCCACCCAGCTGGGGTTGGGTCCAGGTTGGGTCCGGGTTTTTAGGGTCGGTGCGGAAGTCTATTTATAATGCTATTAGAACAGATTCTTCTTATAGAGATATTCTTTATATAGCTTACTATCAATTTATTAGAAGATGAGTAGACACAGTATAACAAAGCCGTTACTACTAGAATATAATATTATAGCTTTTAGAAAGGTAAGCCCTTTCGGGAACAACGGAAGCGCTTTATATCGTCCAATAATAACGATGTAGTTCTCTTTCCACCAGCTCGAAAGAAAAAACCTGATATACCGCTGACTACGTCGCCAGAGAATGGCCGTACAACTAGCGGGGAATATATCCTAAATACGGAGCAGATATTCGTATGCTTCTAATACCCTAAAACATACTCTAATTATAACAGGGTGAAGAGGCATTTCAGGACATCAAATTTAACTAACCGGACATATAACTTTTGCGATTTGTCCGTTCTACACGAGATGCACTTACGGAGGCATGCCCAGGATGTCCATAGCCTTCGAACATGAGCGCCAGATTCTACTTACTAAACAAATACTTGGATATTTCTAATCCCGAATATATTCTTAAGTCTCCAAGCGGAATGCTATACCTCAGGGACTCACACCCACAGTAAGAATAGGCCAAGTAAATCAAACATTCGCGGGATTCATAGAATGCAGACAAGCAACGAATATTCTTTCTTTATTTCCTAGTACCCCGTAGTGGAAATCATCAAACGACTCAAGTGGGTTACCTCAGGATCGGGATTATTTACGTTTAACTGCGCGGCGATTACTGCCGATTTTGTTGTCAGGGAAAGGGTACGGAGTATACAAGCACGACTCGATTTCCTGGGGTTCAATACGTCTCCTGTGCAGTATACTCGGTCCTCTGTATTTCCACCCTTTTTTCTTTCTCGACCATGAGACCGTGGGCATTCCCGCCTGCCTTTGGTGGGTTGATCACCAGCCAATGGGAGAGTGCTTGTTTAGGCCTGAAGCGCTGAAGTGGGTACCACCGTTTGCCGTGAGCTAATACTTGCTACTGAAACCTAGTCAAGGGTTGCGCTGAAGGCGCTAGTCGCTTCAGCGGCGCTACAAATATGAGCGGGGATGGAAATAATAAGCGACAAAAAATCAAGGCCACCATTCCTCTCTTGAAAAGAAAAAGACATAAGCTCGCTCCATACCAATATCCGGGCTATAAGCCACGATCGAATGATGAAACCCATCATGGTCGTATACCCTTGGGGAAGCGGATTGTTCACAAATCACCACATTCTCATCCCTATTCTTATCGCCCGTCGAGATCAAGTCTTCCTGATTGGTATCATTCGGACCAGGCGCTTGGCTCTCCGACCTTTAATGATACCGTCCAGTTCCAGACCGCTCTCCGCTAGGAGCCGACTAACGACCGAGGAATGCCCATTATTGACTGCCCACCAGATAGGAGTTCTCCCTTCCACATCTTTGGAATTGATATTGATATCGGCCTGATCAAGTAATATATTAAGCATTGGGAGATAACCGTCATAAGCTGCTTGATGAAGAGCAGTAAACCCATCCCCACTTCGACCGGTTTGATTGATCTTGTTATCGTCGCGACTGAGGAGCAACTTGACAATGGACAAGTCCCTCCTCTGTACTGCCAATCGAAGGGGACAATAACCACAAGAACTGTAGATATCCACCTCCGCTCCGCGGCAAAGTAGCATTCTGAGGATTTCTGTATCTCCTGCACAAACCGCAGCAGTCAACAGTGGTTGAGCAAGCTCTATGCTTCCAATATATGGTGACATATTAATATTGCTCTGGTCCAGTAGCAGGCTCACCATTACTCTGTCTCGTTCCCAAATAGCATTATGCAACGGAGTGATCAGGTTTGACCTGGGAGTGTTGGCATTGGCCCCATACATTATGAGCAGTTGAGCCGCATCCAAATTTCCACACCCAGCAGCGTACCAGAATGGCGTGCAGCTATTCTCGTCCTGCATATGGATGTCAATCTGCCACCTGGAGAGAAGAAGTAACGTCGACTCTTTTTGTTTCGAGATCACCGCATGGTGGAGCGGAGTCCTACCCTGATTGTCTCGAGCGTTAATATCCGCCTTGCCGGAGTTGAGAAGAGCTTCCGCGACACCCAAATGCCCATGTGCGACTGCGAGCGCGAACGGCGTCATTCCAAGGAAAGTGTCAGGGACATCAATATCAATATCCCGATGTTGTAGTAGCTTTGCTACGGCGCACATCCTTCCAGCATACGCAGCACGCCACAGTGCGGTCTCTCCGTGCACATTTCGGGCATTCACATCAATATCTTCCCCGGCCAGAAGTAGGTCGATCACGGACTCTGACCCGAATGCCGCGGCTACTAGAAGAGCAGTGCTTGATTTGAGCGTGGAGTTGATATTAACCCCGTATCCTAAAAGTGACTTTGCAGTATCATGGTTATCGTACTTTGCGGCGTAGTGTAGAGCCGTACAGTTTCTTTGTCGGGCACATGATTGATAGACCAGGTCTCGCAGGATGCTGTAGGTTGTGCGCGTGATGCATGCAAACGAAAGGATATCTCGCGGGTCATCGCATTGCTCCGCGATGGTGAGCAAAATTTCGCAAGGTAATTAAGAGGACCCATTTGATCTGATGAGAGGTACACATGTAAAAGGAGACATCCCTGATAGAGGATGGCCTTGGTTCGGTGCAGCAAAATGGGTTATTATAGGAAGACAAACAACCTGATCTGGGTTGATAAGCTTTGGGTCTCGACTGAAACGCCGCTGAACTCCAAAACTAGGAACCTTCGGTTCCTATTGGATGCTGGAGAGCCGCCTGTTCTGCTGAAGGGACGGTGTGCTCAGCGAGGCACCGAGTGAACCCCCAAGAGACGAAGGTCAAGTCTGCCACCATAACAAAACAATCTTGGGTAAGAATGTAGTGGTGGCGGACTGGTAGGTGGGCTCGTGTCCGTAATGAAGCACTTCCAAAGAATGAAAAGGAGAGCTGTCAACCACTGGCGCGACTGTTGACGAGAACAGCTGCCGCGCTATCGCTGGAGAGAGGCCTCGAAGCCGTCGAAGCTCCATCGCTGCCTCCAGACCTTTGGACGCTGCTCTGGCAATATGCTCATTGTACTTCAATCGCGTGTCCATCAGCACGCCGAGGATTTTGACCTTGTTCTTAGGCACGACCGTCTGTCCCTTGATAGTGGATGGCTCTTGATCTACTTTGCGAGTCTTGGGTGCGAAATGTATAATCGCTGTTTTCTCCGCTTCAAAAGTTGCTCCGCTCCTCCTCTCCCAGTCGAGGGCCTCCTTGATGATTGTCGTAATACCTTCTCGATTACTTTGCACGGTTGGTCCTGTCACCTACGCGGTAAAGTCATCCACGAAAGCGATTGCTCCACCCTGGCTGTCGATCTGTCTCTGTACGAGGTCGGCGTTGAAGAAGAGGAAGAGGATTGGAGACAGGGGCGAGCCCTGAGGCAGTCCAGGCTGTGGCAGATCCTGGACCTCCGACAGTTGCCCATTGATCTGGATGGCCGCCGTTCGTTCCGAGCAGAACGCTTCGACCCATCGAAGCAGAATCTCCGGGATGCCTCGCGCCTTCATCCTCTGGATCAATCGTTCCTTGCAGACCCCATCGTAGGCCCCCTTGACATCGAAGCTAATCAGGCTCAGCACCCGTCGACCGCGCCACGCTGTGTAAATCTGCTCCTGCAGAAGCAGGAGTGCCTGCTCCGCGGACCGCTGCTTTCGGGCCCCGAAGTGGCTGGTCGGGAGCAAGCCGTGGGTCTCCACTGCGTGCGAGATTCTTTCGGCCACTACTGATTCTAGGATCTTGCCCAGTGTCGCGAGCAGTGAGATCGGCCTCCATGCCTTGGCAATGGTGTAGTCTTCTTCATTCGGTTTTCTCAGCGGAATGATCTTTTCGTGTCTCCACTGTCTCGAGCAACACGTTCATGATGCACGTCTGAAGAATATTCTTGATAGTTTTGGAGCAGGCCCTTGAAAACAACTCGTACCTGTCTATATAGTGCAAAAGCTTCATCATCTATTGCGCCCGATGCATACTATCACTTTCTCCATTGCTATTTCTTGAAATCATATGGATACTTAGTTCAAGCTCAACGTTACACTCTGGCACCAAAATATCAACATGGTAGTATTTAACAAAGCAACTAAACAAGAGAGAGAGAGGGAGGGAAGTAGAGATTGATACTTAGGCACCAGGCATCAACACCAGCATGAAACACCAAAAAAATATGAAACGTTAACATATACTGTATCCAAACAGGAAAATATTCTACCAGGAATAATCCAACAAGATGTATAAGATATTCACAGAAAAGTAGAGATATAAGCAAGGATGTAGCACCGCAAATTTGCTGGTGAAAGTGCCAAGAATGTCACCTATGCCAGTCCCTCCTGTTTGCTTTCGAGGAGTTCTTTCTTCTTCTTGTAGTTTGCATCGTTTCCGTTGATAATTTTTTTCCCTTCCAAATCATCAAGAAGCTCAAGAACGTAGTCTTGACAGTTATACCCCGGAAATTCATTGTGAATTGTCGCATTTTTCGCTGTCTCTTTGATTGCGGCGACCTTGGAAATAGGTACATCGCACATGTAAATCAGCTCTGAGAGTGTTGCGGATTTCCGGGCGTTGGAAAGGCTGTTGAATCAGAGCACTGGGAGGCGTGCAGAATGAACTTATGTCGTGTGGCATCCTGTATGAATCAGAGTTCCTTGTCAAGCCGCGGTTGATATCACTTGTACTTCTAGCAATTTGAGCCAGATCGTGTGATCCTGTATTTTGAAATATTTCAACCTCCTCAGGGACACCCTGGGGCGGGATGAATGAAGCATCTGACGGTCTTCTCTGGGTGCTTGATTCGGCGCTCGGAAAGGTAGAGAAAGTCGTCAGCTCATGGGAGTTCATGCTTGGATAATCAGCACTATTTGATAGACAGTTTGATATTCCATCTTCCGACGAGTAATTTGGAAATGGCAAATGGGTATCCGAATCCGCATGCCCGCTCGCGACATTAGAAGCTGTCGGTTTCACAGGTGGCCGCAAATCCCGCGGTCCTCGTGCATCTATTCGTGAGATCATTTCGAAGTCTCCGTTCATATTTTCGAACCACGGTGAAATCAACTGTGCTGATTCGAGTAAAGTTATTGCCTCATTGCTTTGTCCTTCAGGAAGAAATCCCGACTGTTCGTGTTCTTGGAGCACAGATTGTGCGAGCATTGGTAGCTCTGACACTCCAATCTTCTGGAACAAAGCATATTCAAAGATTGTGATGGGAGCTAACATCCCTCTGACAGCTTCCTTTTGAGCAGGGGAGGTCGAACTGCTCTTTAAGACCTTTAGAAACAACAGCTGGTTTGTCCCTCTTTGGATTCCTTTTCGCACAACGTTTTGGTCTGGTTCAGGGTAGCCGTGGTCTCTGACAAATCTAGTCATATTACGAGCAGGTCTCTTAGAATCGGATGGACCTTTGGCACCATTCTCCTGGATTTGATCGTAAAGGACATTGGCTCTAGTCTTCCAACCTCGTTCAGTTTCCCAGTTCATAAATTGTTGAGCAAGGGATAGTTGACTCAATCCTTTCAAAAGCTTTTGTTCTTCACTTGGATTTTTGTTGCCATCAATTTGTTTCAAATGATCAATTCTCTTATCTGCGAACTGTATCTCTTGCTCGGTTTGCAGAATCTCGGAAAGAGAAGCTCTAGACTTGCAAAATTCGCGGATTAGAGAGAGCTTCTCTTTCACTGATTTGATTATGGTGACAGATAGAGGATCGTTAATCACTTGGCGTTTCCTTTTCTTCGTAGCATTTGAAAGTGGCTTAGAGATACCACAAGCTAGTAAGCTTAAAGGGTTGTTCATTTGAGTGGGTGGGCTTGGATTTGTGGTGCGCGTAGAGTCAACTTTTTGGGAAACCCGAGCTTCTGCAATGTCGACGTCACGTACAGATCCACGAGTGTTTTCTGCGTCGACACTGTTTTGACACGTCTCATCTTCAATCCGTTCCTTATTGAGTGCTTGTCTGATCTGCTCTAAAGTCTGGAGAGCCACCCCACGATGAGAGTTGATAAGTTCATTCGGCGTATCACGAAGAAGTATCAAAGCTGATAGAACCTCCGCTTCCGATGGTGGCATAGTGATAATCGAAGTAGACAGGAAATTTCGAATACGACGGAATGGTACCTCTAATTATAATTTATTAGTCGGCAAGAGGAGTGGAATTAACTATAATAGATTATTAGAGTAATTTTCTCTAAATCAACTATACTACTAATCTTTTAATTTTAATTATAATAGTTTAAAAGATAATTATAATAATAAAATAGTTATACTAAGCAGATTTTAGAAGAAAATAGGAAAAGTATAGGTCCCTCTAGTTACACTTCACCCAAAATTCACTAAATTTCAATTTGACCCTATAACTTTTCTAATAATTTTTAAACTTAGAAATTAAAATACATATAAAGCAAAAATCTAATTTGAAACTTCTGAAAATTTGAGCTCGATCCAATAATGGGAAGGTAGGGTACTCAGGGTCCTGAAGTTGGAGGGCATTAAGGGTGGTAGATCCCCTACGGGAGGAATTCTGCCCATATATAAGAAAACTGACCGCCTGACATTCAGTCCCAATGCTCCCGGTCCCATGGGGTAGGTTTCATAGAATGGCAAGTTTCATGGCGTGAGCTTTCATGGTGTGGCTACTGTCATGGCGCGACAGCCTTCATGGCGTGATCGCTCACGCGTCCTTTGCCTGTGGTGACCTTCGTGATTTGTTTCCCTGCGCCTCGGTCATTCCAACCGATTGTCCACATTCACGCAGTGACGTTTTTCATCGAATAATAGCTTTCACGTACAATTCGCTTTGCCGTCAGTCAAACACCCTAAACTGTACAATAGTATTCGAACCAGAACGTGCAACGAATAAGATGGAAAATCACTAATTGTTCCTGAGAATGTCTTGGTTGTACCTGGAAACTCAAACTGTATGTCTAGAATTTCACAATCTCGTGTGTTTCAGAGCTCGACAAGGGGTTCACACAAGCCAGCTATGAGGTTATGCTAAGTTGAAAGATTGCTTAATGCATACATCTCCACTGCCTACTAAACCCACCATCTACTTCGAGCTCATTGCATTGAGCCCAGCAATGCGCCCAAAGACGAGCGCGCGTAAAACAGCAACAGCATTTGGCGCGGTGTCGTGGAAATGGCCGGTAACCTCACCTGCGGCGTAGAGGTTAGGAATGGCGCCTTGCTGGGTTAATACTCGCGTTTCTGTGTCAGTCGCAAGTCCACCAAAAGTGTATACAATAGCAGCGGCTAAAGGAAAAGCTAAATACGGCGGAGCGTTGAGCGGGCGGGCCCAGTTCGACTTTGGAGGTTCCAAGCTAAGCCCAGTTGCAAGGCCATCAAGACGGCCAGCAGAAAAACGGGATACGTCTGTGTCACAAGCTGCGTTGTAGCTTGAGATTGTATCTAAGAGCGCCTGTTCCGGCACCTTCATCTGGACTGCTAGGCCAGATACTGTGTCCGCTGTAAGAGGCGGGATGTCGGTGCGAATGGCCGCTTCATAGCCTTCCACCTCAGAGAGTCTTGAATCGCAAACTACCCAGGCTGACTGGCCCGGAGCATCAAAGTGGATAGTTCGTGAAAGTTGTTCCCAGGTGTCATGGACGAGCCCTGCGCCCTCATCAACGAATCGCTTTCCGTTGCAATTCACCACAATACCATAAGGATAGACGAGCACGAGCGGTGCAGGCATATCGCTGCGCGGATCAATTATTTCGCTATGCATGCCATTCCAATTTCCATTTACCGCAGCCCCGTTATTCAGCGCCATTTGGATCCCATCACCTGTGTTCCACCGCGTGCCTGGAGATATCGGTCGTAGAGACTCCGCACCGGTCCCGAAATAGGTATGCAGGAGGTCTGGATTACCTTGAAATCCACCGCTGGCGAGAACAACGGATTTGGCAATGAATCGCCGCCCGTCTGCCGCCTCGATGGTGGCCCCTTCTTTCCCAAGGTGCAGTTGCTTGGCGCGGCATTCGTACACCAGCTGGATGCCTTTTACCCTGGCAGATCGCTGCAGCGCTTCGATTATGGCGGCACCTTTGCCGACGGGCTGAATCCTATTTGGCCACGACTTCAAGAAATAGTCCATGGCATGAAATTGCACACCTTGTCTCTCGAGCCACTGGACGGCCTGCGGTGCCTGGTCGGCCAACTTTTCGAAATAGGCGCGGTCGCCGTCTACGCCACTGATGGTCATCATATCATCCATGAAACCAGGCGATATCTCATTAACAGATCGCATGCGCATGTTGGCCGGGCTATAACGCGTGTTGCCCCCGCTGGCATCCTCAGGCGCGCGCTCTAGCACGGCAATCTGAGCTGCTGGAGCGAGTTCCGCCGCCGATACTGCGGCGGCTAGACCGGCCACGCCGTGACCAACTATGACAAGGTCATACATGCTAATTGTGCCTGCCATTTCGCTTTAGTAGTTAGATTTCAGCAGGTTTTAGTCACTCACGTTGCTTGTCGTGGTGTTTGATGAAAAGATCTCGTCGTCGCTGAAGTCGAAATGATTCGCGCCGTGGGATTCGCTTATGTGTTGGCGCTAGTTTACGTAATCGGACACCGAGCGGCCACTTTCTTCCCGAACCGCGTACTTTGTATTCATTTTACAATTTTGACGCGTCAATAAAGCAATTGTGCGCCTTGGGAGACTCGACCATGCTCGCAGTCACCTAACTCATCCGGCTCTGACACAAATAAAACCGCTGGCCACAAGCGGAAAATCAGTCAAGTCACGCTTTCGCCTTCCTCGCGGCGATCGAATCGACAACAGGAGTCGAAAAGTGACCAAGAAGATCATTCTTGACGCCGTGCTGTACAATTTTGTACGCAGCGATGTTTATTCGGTCTATAGAGTGGGCAGCCCTTTGACGAGCTCTGTCCAAATGTGAGCTATCATCGTGCGAGTCGGAAAGATCTGAACCACCATCCTATCTCAGTTGGAGATTTAATCACTTCATTGAAAAGCCAATTGGACGACAATATCGACCGTTGCATTCCTTTCGGTTGTTGCGGTTCCTATGGTACCCCGTTCAAGTTGACTTGCTCGACATACGGTTACACGGCTGTCGGCAAAGGTACCACCACCTCGGGGTTATGGAAGGAAGTCTGTCGCGAAGCGCAGGTGTATCAGGTCTTGCGCAAAGCGCAAGCATCTGCCGTGCCTGTATTTTTGGGAACGATAGATCTGGCAAAAATATACTTTTCTCATGGCGCTGGACAAATCCGCCATATGATCGTAATGGGTTGGGGAGGTGAAACCACCGCCAAGATGGAACTGACACAAGGACTTTGCCGTGAAATTTACAAATCGAACAAGGAAATCAAGGCTCTTAGAATAATAGACGAAGCCCTCAGACTGGGCAATGTTCTTTGGAATGAAGAGCTCGGTCGTGCTTTGATCATCGACTTTCACCGCTCTACTCTGAGACCCTCTAAGCAGTGACCGGGAGCCGCAAAACGACGGCTATGTCAAGCAGAGGCAGCAGATGTGAAACGAGTCCGTGTATCATGAGAATGCAATGTCCCTTCTGCCTTCAAATCAATCATCGATAATTGCAAATGATCATATTAATTTTGAAGCCGATCTGCGCCTTTCTCTTTTCTCTTTTCTTATGTAACACAATCTTCGAATTCACCGAATTATCATTATGACATGAGAGCAAAGGGTGATCAAAAATCAATTTACGAATCTCCAGAGCTAGAATACTGCTCAGAACGGAGGCTGCTAAAATGCTGTTGCCTGCTAAGGAGACTTCATTTAGCCGTGTTGCACTGGGGAGATTATCCAATTTGCTACACCTGGTATTCAGACCCGATAAATGGCACGAGCCAAAAGTGGCAGCCCTCAGGGAGCTGTACCCTGTGTCTTTGATCATTTGTGGACTGAGCCTAACACAAAAAGCTATGGAAGTTATGCGAAAAGAGCTTTTTGATGTATTGCTTGAACAAGCTGTGATCGCCTCTCAGACTGCCGTGAAGATTATCGCTAAATGCGACGAGATAAACAAGGTAGTTCTAAGCTCATCGGCCGACGAGGATTTCCTGAAAAGTAAGTTCAGTCATCGAGATCTTTGCAGCGTTTCTAACGAGTCCATAGATTTCATTAGTTTGAGACGAATAGGTAATGGCAACTTACGCCCAAATCTCCAGTACTCTCTGGGCGGAGGACCGTCCTGGTGCTATACGTCGATCGTCAAGCCCGAATCTATGCACATTGCATTCCCTCGATTGCTTGTTAAGGCTGTCCGTGGTTATCTCACGACTTTTCTTCCATCCGAAGGATCGACGGATGGACTGATCAGAGTGATGGTGATGTTCGACCAGAGCCTCCTTCAATCCCTATTCGGCTGTCCAGAAAGCGACACAATGGCTGCTGGTGAGCAACTCTCAGGTCGGATTTGACTCATAATAACTTTAAGAAGAACGTTTCTCTATAGGCTGCGCCGTGAAGAGCCAGATAGCTGCGGCGTTCGGAGATGACGTTTTTGAAGCTGTTACAAGCAGTCAAACTGATCGATTTCTCCCGCTGTTTGTTTCCTCGAGGCCCCACCAGCCGTCAAAAGCCGCCGCCACCATCTGCGCTTTTAGCCAACAAATTAGAAACGTCGAGATTTCCCCCTATCTCTCTGTGATTAAAAGCAAGGATTAGAACCGGTTTAGCAGCTCTGCAAATCGGGATTTAGCCAATCTCGCCACCATGTAGCAGCTAAGACCGTGGAAAACGTATCCGCTCACTAGCTGATCGACATTGGAAGTTCTCAAAAAGTCCTCTCATCAGTCCTCTTATTGCGGCTATTTTTTAGCATTAGGACATGGGAGGGCAAGATGAATGGCTCAAATCAGGTCTATTGGCTACCAGTAGGGCCTGGATTCCTTGATTTCTATGGTAGTATATATACTTGCCTTGAAACAGCTGGTAGTTCATGACGTATAAGCTTGCCCGATCCTTATTTAATACTTCTAATGCCGCTACAGTAGCTTTAAGGGAGAGCATTATTCTTTGGAAATCTACCACCTTGAAAAAATGGCTACACTTGATACCCTATCACCACTTCATTCAACAAGCAACGTCCCAATTAGTGCGACCATAAGCCCAATCCATCAGCCACTTCCCGAATGGCTACAAAACTTGAGCTTTGTTCCAAAGAACACCAGATCACCTCCAATTCCCCCACCTACCAGAAAGCGTCGCAGATCTTCGACCAAACGAATCCCCCGTGAATCTGTCAACCACGAGAGAGCGAGGCAACTAGAACGGAACCGGGTCGCTGCTAATAAATGCCGAATAAAGAAAAAAGAGGAGCAAGAGAAGATGGAGCAGCTGGTGGAAAAAGTGTCTGAAAAACGTGATTCTCTCATTTCAGAAGTCAACTGTTTACGAAACCAGATTTGGCGATTGAAAAACGATATGTTTGCTCATGTGGAATGTGGCGATGGGGAGGTTTTGCAACAATTGCAGAGAATGGCGCAGGATATCTTCTCTGGATATCGAAAGTCTTCAAGCGTTTCATCTACATTATTAGCGCAAGTCGCTGAACCATTGCTGGTCGTATCTTTAGACGGTCTTGCGGCGTCAGAAAGGCCCAGTGAAGAGGCATCTGACGACGCTCTATTTAAGGATTTCCTTGAGTTGTGAGCGAAGGTGTGGAATAAACACGGAATTTCCACTAAGACAACGCTTGCCTGCACTTATCACTCCTCTTGCCCAAATATCCGCCAATGCCAAACAGCATGTCAGATCCTCTCTCACGATATGAGGCGTGTATTAAGGGCAATAACTTTGTCTTCATCGTTTGTACGCCTTGGCGGCCCTCTCAAGCATGGAGTCAGGCTAACGTTATTCCTCAGTTTACCGCGGCCATTGGTGTTCTTTCTGTATTTCCTAGTTGAAAACCTTGCATTCTATTCTTCCTCACATAAATCCCGCCGGGGGCAAAGCCATCGCTATTACGGCTGAGCCCAAGTAGCACCTTCCGGACACGCCCAATGCTTCGGGCTACACTGGCCAGATAATCGTCAACCCGATGAACATGATCGCAGCGGAGATGAGACAAATCTCAATGATAACGGACATGGCACTTCACAGCCGGCCATTCTAGTAGTGAATAATGTGGGACAGTGCTATTTGATTGGGCTATAGCGCCTGGGGTGATGAACCTTGGTGGTGCTAAGGACCGCCCGGATTTGAAAACAGGTCTGGGAGAATGTACTGGCATGGCTGAACGGACAGCCGCTTGTGCACAAAAGATACGTCTTGCAGTCGTTCACCAAGGTCATGCCGCAGAAGATTTTCTTCGAAGGCAATGAGAATATTTGATTACATGTACCAGCATGGTAACGAAATAAAATCATCCCCACTGTAACCACAAGCCCTGGCAACAAATTCAAACTTATGATCGTTTCTGCAAGTTAGAAGATCTGACCATTCCCTTTTCAATGTGAGTTGACACTCTCTATTACCTGCTTTCTTGTCCCATTTCTTAGTAGTGCTGAATATATATCGAAGCACTGTCTAGCATCCCATTTTCGTCCCAGCATGTTGCAGGTAGTTCTTTGAATCTAGTAGCTACTTGCTCCGATTGTTACAATATCACTCGAGATTTCCTATGCTTGGGATTCTTTTCGTCTTAATACACTTCACGGCAATTTGGAATATATTTATAAAGCCTCTTTGCAGTAATTTGTTGGTTTTGAGATTCTTTTATATATCGGGATTGAGGTATACGAGGATATAGTTATTATCTTCTACCTAAAAGTTGCTATTATTAATTCCTTCTTATATAAGATCGTACATCACCCTACTCTGAAGGATTAAAGAGCTTTTTATTTAAGCGAATAGAAGTCCTCTTACGTACCCTTCTATATACAACTATATCGAAGATATACTTTATTAAGTCTAAAAGTATCTTGTCTAAATAGTAAGGAAAGACAGGACACTGCGATATTAGAGTTTCCTTTAAAATAATCTGATATATTTAAGATTCTATAAAGGCTATATTCTTTCTATATTTAAATTCTCTCTAACTTCTTTTACAATATTTTAAGTGAGATGTATCCGTTAATATTATAAGTAGTCTTTTAGAAGTTAGCGTGATAGATATTTTTAAATAGCCATTGTATATTTAGCGGCTTAAGTTTATAAGTTATTAGATGTAGAAGTATGGTTTTAGAGTTTATTACTTAATCTTAGCTAATCTTATTATCGATATAAATGATAAAAAAAACTTTGAGTTCTTTATTTATTAGAGTAAGAGCTATATAATATAGTAATAATATATCACGAAGCTTTTCTATTTTTAGTTTTTTTATCTTAGTAAATTAATTATTTTTATAGATTAATTAGAGTCTTTCGTTTTTAAAGTCTCTAGTATAGCTTTTGTGTAAGTTAAAATTAGAAGTTGCTATAATGGTATAAAACTGGTATTAGAGATTAAATAAAAATATAAAATAGTAAGAGACTTTAATTTAGTAAAAACTATAAGATCGCTAGAAATTAATAGCACTAGATTGATTTTGATCCTATGTTATTAAGTGTTCTTTTATAGGTTTACCTATTAACTATAATTTGATTTCTACTATTCTAGTTACAAAGGATAGAATCTATATCTTAATCTATCTACTAACTACTTTTTATATTTAGATAATTGTTTTTAATATATTTTTATCTAATATAGAAGTAATATTAATAAACTATTTATTAAATAGCTATAGATATTAGATGATAATAATAGGTTTATAGATTCAGGATAGCTCTTATATCTAGTAATATTTGACACGGTGAGCGGGGGGCCAGAAACGGCTCCCATTGCACCGCCGTCCTGCCGCCCTCGACCGCCTGCCCGTCTCCGCCATCCCCTTGCCCCTTTGGGTTTGGCGCCCTCACCCATGCCCCCGTTCGGGTTTAGTGCCGCCGCTGGCCGCTTTTACCGCACCCAACACCTGCCCTCCATCTATAAAACACCGCTCGTCCTCTTCGCAGCTCTGTCGACGCACTTTCTCTTCTTTTTCCTGTCTGCCCCCCTTTTTCTCTCGGTCCCCACCAACCTCTGCGCACTGGCTCGCCACCTGATGCATCGCCCCTTTCATTTCACCGGAGATGTCGCTCGATCCACCGCTCAGCCGACTCTAGCCAGCGTTGTCTGCACCACGGACCAGTTCCTTGCAAGTTGATGCTTCGAGATCATGAAGCCCTCGTCATCTTGTGTGCTATGATACCAGTTCTTCTGCCTACTTTGATTGTACTACAATGATACTAGCTCTCGAGAACACATGTTGTTTGCGAGCCTTTCCCGCTGAGCGCCTCGCTCACTCTCCTGGCTGTTTGCTCGGCCGGAGGACAGTGTCTCAGAAATCCACGACACGCACGTCCTGATTTGCCACATTCCATGCGAGGTTGCATCGTACAGCCTCCAGTAGTGAGGGCACGCCCTGGTCCGCTTGGTCGAGAGCGCCTCGGGGTAAGACTATCGTCATACTCGGTTTCATCTGGCCTTTGTTTCCCAGTCAACGAGATTTTGAGCGACAACGCCGTGATATGAACCAATAGCGAAATTGCCGCATTCTTTCCTAGTGTCAATCAGTGCCAAGTACTGCGTCACGAGGCCGACGATGGTCCATTTTACAGATGGCCTCTAACCAAGCGTATAGATGAGCAACTGGAGACTAGGCTGACGGTCATAGTGGAGCCAGGTTACAATAGGACGCCACTAGGTGTACGGAAGCTTTCGCCGATGGCCTTCGGTCCCTGGTTGTGCAACCGGTGTGGCTCCACGGCCTTGGATGAAACGGCTCGGATTGAAGGAGGTGGACCAACTCATATGCGCGGCCAAAGGCACTCCTCGTCTATAAAGCAGTTGCCAATCCTCTTCAAATGCTCAATCAGACAGAAACCCATCAATATCCCCTCTCCCTCCCCCTCGCCTCTGCTCTGTATCCCATACCCCCATATCTCAGCGCCCCATTCTTATTCAGGTTCAAAACTACATCTGCAGGATTCTTCTGGCTATCCACCTTTCTCAACATGTCAAGCACCAATTTTCGCCTGGAATCGTTTCGTCCATGGAATCCTTTCCAAGACAGAGCTCAGCCATTGCGCGATCCACGCGGTACTCGTCGCTACCCAAGTCCGGTTTCGATCACTACCACCCCGCCAAGCTCCAATAATAGCGTGCATGGCCCAAAGAGCCAAAAGATTCATTCCCACAAACCTGAGCGACACCCCCTTCCTGCCCGCCCGCCGACGGAGGTCTGCTTAGATGGGTTGCATTCGGAGACTCAAACCACTCGACGAGAGTCGGAGGGCCTGGGTCAGACACTTTCCGCTGTGAGTGACCCAGAGCCTCTCAATTTCAAGAATATTCCACAGCCACAAAACATAGTTGGTGCCGATGAAGCCGTTTCTACAGGTTTTGCCGATGAATTGCACTGGGAAACAGAGCATCATTTCCTCGACTTCGGATTGGATGACTCGCGTCCTGTCGATTTTGCCGGCCGGCGTTCCCAAATTGTTGATCTTGGAATCCCTACTCAAAATGGAGAGCTTCCAAATTTTGAAACTATCGATCCTGCAATCCTGAATGACCATGCATCTGCGGTCGCCGAACAGGCTCAGAGAACTATGAGTATCGCCGGCATCGCAACGCATCCGGAAGAATTCCCCGCGGAGTCCATTCGCTCTCAGAACAAAGTCTCGTCCCTCCAACACAGACGGAATTCAAAGGGAATGGTGGATACTGACTGCCAAACCTCAAAAGTAAAAAAAGGGTCGGGTTCGAGACAAAGGCATACAAGAAATGGTTCTGCTCGACCCAAGAAAGGTTCCGGTCATTGTCAGAGCATTTCTTTCCCTACAGTTCGTGCCCATTTTTCGGCCCTTTCAGTCGAAGACCGACTACAGTTCCTGTCCTGGCTTTTTGAGGGTGCGTTGACTCGTTGCTCTTCCGCGCCCTCCAGCGCTGCTGGTGCTTCTCCATCAAGCCAATGTGACGAAATAACCGACGACTGTGATCACATGAGCTTGAACACTCAGGTGGTTGACGCGGATCATACCTCTTTGAGGAAGGGACTACCGTGGTCTGTGGAAGAAGATCACCTTTTGATAAAGCTAAGAGACAAGCAAAACCTCGCTTGGCCGGAGGTGGTCAAGCAATTTTCACGAGAATTCCCCGGGCGGAGCGAGGGATCAATGAAAGTTCACTGGAGCACAGCGCTGAAGGAAAAAAGGCGATCTTACCCCCTTGTTCTTATTCCTTGATATATTAACATTGAGCCATCACGGATAGAAGCATCTATAATATTAAAAACATTATGTGTGAGGGTTTATTTTTCCAAGATTCTGCATCACCTCAAATGGAAGGAAGGTATTGAAGAATTACATAGTAATATTATGTTTTACTTAGCTATTATAATGTTTACTGTAACATGAATGATGATTACAGTAATAAGAAGTTTTTTACAAAAAGACCTAAAATCATGCTCAAGTTAGATAACGTAGCAACGCGTAGGAAGTCAAGTTCGTGGGGCCCAGGGCTTTGGAATTTGTTCGGTCATCGAATTTCATTTGTCTATCGAGGTTTATTGGCTGTATATTGTAGAGGCATACAGGCTCTCAGGCTGGAACAATCTCAACGCGCACAACCGCTCCAACTTAAGTAGATTTTCGAGGCGCTGGATACCTGGACTTGCCAGTATTCAGAATGGCGCATTTATGACAAGATGGTTGATTCTGAGGGCTATGTATTGCATGTTACGACACAGTTCTTCCGGTATGTTCATATTTACCATACATGACATGTGGGTATGGGGATGGTGCTGAATGGCCATGTACGACAATACAATGCGGGGAACTCACGGTATTTTACCCCTCATCTGAAATGACATATGCTCGGGCGGCTCAGGGTAGATTCAGGGTAGGCTCAGGGTAGGCTCAGGGTAGGCTCAGGGTAGGCTCAGGGTAGGCTCAGGGTAGGCTCAGGGTAGGCTCAGGGTAGGCTCAGGGTAGGCTCAGGGTAGGCTCAGGGTAGGCTCAGGGTAGGCTCAGGGTAGGCTCAGGGTAGGCTCAGGGTAGGCTCAGGGTAGGCTCAGGGTAGGCTCAGGGTAGGCTCAGGGTAGGCTCAGGGTAGGCTCAGGGTAGGCTCAGGGTAGGCTCAGGGTAGGCTCAGGGTAGGCTCAAAAGTAGGCTCAAATGACCCAGCGCCTCCTCGGTAGGTCAACCAATGACCATACAATCATCAACGAAGAGCTATGACGTTGTCCTCGCGTCCCCGCTGCACAAAAATCTCGTAGCAAAAGGCAAAAGAGATAGAGAACAAACTTCGACTTGCATTTTGAGATTCTTTTGTTGTATGGATGATTTACAGGCGGATATCATACGGCTGAGCATTTGAAGCCATTTAGAGAACACGGGCGAGCCTTCCACTGTGCAATCGCCATAGGAAAGTTTCCTTCAATACTCACTCCTATTGGTGGTTGACCCGCAAACAAAAGTAGAATTGCGAAGAATCTCGGTTGTGTCTTGGAATAATGCAGAAATCGGATATCTGGAGAGCCTTGGCAATAAGTATCATGCGAGGTGATTAATGATGTCGCATTCTTTGAAATAGAAAATCCCCAGACCAGATGTGCGACTATCCTATCCTGCCAATTAATTACATTAAATATGGATTTACCTAATGCGGTGCCGGCAGCTCAGTTCTCTCCAGGGATAAGCGTGTCTGACGTTTTTGGGAAAAAGTATCTATCCCTAGAAAGCCAAAAAAATTTTCTAGCCAGAAAAATAGCGGAAGCAACGTGTTCGAATTGGTTTGTCTCATTAAATTCGAGATGCTCTGGTGAGTATTCAGAAAACAGAGGGGCGATCTATTTTGACCATTTCGCATATGAATTTAGCAAAGTTGAAGCTGAACCAATGACAACGGCACTGTCGGAGCATGTATGGGTTTTTTAATACTATCACTACAATGGGGAAGGAAGGAAATCTCTTTTCTTCGGCACAAGGTTTTATTTTCTTTGTGAGGATCGGGCCTAATTTGAAGTGCCAGATTGACAGAGGAAACATTGAGGAACCAGCGGATGTGATAGAACCTAGAGAAATATTGATGCTGAGTTGTTCAAGTGGTTTCCATATTCCTGTCAAAAGGCCATGGGTCCTCTAATTTTATTCACCAGCAGCAAGCAGACCCCAGGGCAGCTGTGAGTGTCTCACGCATACATAGATGAGAAAAATGTCTTACAGATGAAAAGTGAATGTTGATAGAAGCTATATACGACTCTTGAAGACGTAGCGCGAGAAAGCAAAAGAGACAGGCTCACTCGCGTTCAGAGGAACCCAGATGCACCATGTGGGTCCCGAAGATCATATCTCTATATGTCCTGTGTGCTTCATGTATATCCCCAATAGCAGCTGAGGAAACTCCTAGGATACTCTCCCTGGTCCCTGCAGACTGAGAGACCGAAATGTCTCTGTTAGGCCTTGGGTATGTTGGCAGTTCCAGTGTTTGCTCAGCGATCTCACATTATGTCTTTTCAGCCAGCTGGCGTATGGTTCAGTCCAAGCACGCGCGATCCGTCACAGTTCTACGAGGCATCCTCGGGGTTTTATAGTGCGATTCTTAGAATGCATGGTCGGCACTGTGGGGAACAGTTCGATTGCTCCTAGAACGAGAGAAGTATTTCCTGGGAGCTTCTCCTGGGTCCACAATCCAAGTGCAATCATCAATAATTCTGGCGGCCTACTTAATGTCGAATGATTCGTGTATAAGTAGTGCTCCTTCTTGATGTGAACCTCCACTATTACATGTATAACTTTGCCTTATTTCAAACGTACAGCCAGTGCACTCAATTTTGCGCGTTACAGTACCACCATCGCACCACCCACAAGCACCACGGGTCATCTGCCACCAGTTGTTGTATGATTGGAAATAGCCGCCATAAATCTTTTTCATGAGGTCTAAACTGACAGTCTCTGCATTCTTCAGCTGTTTCTTCGAGTCCTCCACTATGTCTTTTCGCTCCTGTCGGCCATGCCATACTTCGAAAATCCGATGCACCCGCGAAATTCCTCATTGCCAAACATGCGTCAATCGAGGGAAGTGCTCGATTTGCGTCTATGAAGCAAGCGTTACAGACCGTAAAAGAGTGTCAGACCGGACGCCTGCTCCTCCAGAGCCACAGCCAAAGCGGCAATTGAAAAGGCAGGAACCAGCATCTGGTGAGAAACGGATTCGATGGAGGGCTATTGAGCCACAACACATTGAACACAGACAGGCCTTGCGGCAAAAGAAGGGCACAATTGAAAAGATACAACACTGTATAGAGCCCACAAAGGAGGTAGACAACAAGGATTTGGATGAAAGTGATTCCGGAAAGGACGATTTGGCAGCTCATGATGCGCTCCCAAAGAGTATCGCGAATACAATTGCTGAGGGAGCTTTGATTCCTCAACCTGAATATGGCCGTGCAGCTGTTGGAGATATCCTTGAATGGTCGCGAAGCATATCAGTATCACAGCCAGCACAGCTCTATGCACATATGACCCCTCCGGTAATCCATACCAACCCACGAGAAAGCTCAGACCACAAGGCTGACTGTTGACAAGACTTCTTTACCTCCACGACCGAACTTTAATCTTGCAATATCTGGCAGACACAATTGCGGTCCACATACGACCCATCAATTGTTGTTAGTGTTGAGCTACCTTTTCATCTCGTCGATGCTCCCTATGGATTTCGGGGCTCTGTGGAAGGTCATATGTCGCCGCGACCGTGACTGGGAAGAGAGCTTTGTCTTGCAGCACGGTCAGCTTCAAAGGTGGCTTATCAGTGCGCGCAACGTTTTGACTAAGTCTGACGGGCTGCACACAGCCACATTGGCAGACATAGAGCTCCAAACAAGATACATTCTGTTTATCATTGGGCAATATACATCCCCTCACTCGAGTTTTCTCGCTGAAAGCTTCCAAAGCGAGCACCCTCCGTACCGGCCGTTTGGGGCGAGGGCAAGCATCGCGCTAATTTGTCTTGTCTTTGAGGGCATTCGGGTTGATGAAATGGAAGGATACGAATCAAAGGAAATATGGACACGCGACAAAACTTTCCTGATAATGATGGCGTCCCGGCTAAAGGAATCGCCGTTGTTTGGCCCGGAAGTTTCAATACTCCAATTGCAGTCTATGATATTAAGCCTTCAGAAGGCTTTCCAGTGTGAAGAAATTCGGGTTTCCAGCACGAAATTCCGGACTTTGAGGATTGAAAGCCAGTTAGAAGTGTTGGGATATTATCGACAAGCATTTCTGGCTTTCGACCCAATACTATTGCCAAAGATTTTGGCCTCATTGAGCAAAGCCGAGGATATCACTTACAGCACTGGGCAGAACCGGCTTACCAATATGGAGAGGTGCTTGGACAGAAGTAAGTAAATCGACCTTCAGGCTGATCCAGCGTTTAACATGAGTACAGCCAATTTAGCTTTGCGGCTGGCCAACATTTTCACTTCACTTGCGCTAGATCGTTTGGACGCTGCTTTCCAAACTATCTGCGAGATTCAACAGTCAAAAGCTGATAAAGTCGTCGCTATGGAGATGATGCATGTCAAGTCATTCGAAGAAGCATACAAGTTGAACACAATTGGTAAGTTCTCTTAGTTTGAATTGTAACAAAGAAATTTCTAACAGTTGCAGGGCCCACCATTATTCGTGTTTTTCATGTTTCACCCTGAAACTGAGAGCGGTAATCGGAAACCCAATATATCTCTTGTAATGCTCTTTGGAAGAACTAGAGAGTGGTGAATAAACGCGACTGTGTGAACGATGAGTCTTTTGTATTGAAATGAACATAGGCAAAGCCCTACGCGCTGGAAACGAGACTATAAACCTGATTCTCATGGGCTACAATGCAATTGTTTCTCAAAATGGGACTTGATCCGATTTCTTATCTGCCTCGGCGATTTAGTCTCAAGGCACATAACAGTTGTCAGCTTCCATGGATTTTATGGTATTGATCGGTTGGCAACTTCGGCATCATGTGCGTTATTCGTTCACGTGAAAACCCCAACCAGCTGTTACGGGCCCGAAAGAAAGGCTTCGCAGAAGCTTAATACAAACGCTTCAGATTTGAGGCATAGTCAGTAGGGCTGCAAGAATGAAAATGAATATGATGTGTTCGCCAAAAGAGAGAGAGAGAGTTTGGGATTACCTTTACCAAGGTAAGGCTAGAAATTTGGCTGCATAATCCAAAGTGTGGAAGGGTCTGAAGTTCT